TGTCAATGTATGTCAGTACCAGTTCTACAGAGAATATCTGTCAATATATGTCTGCACCAGTTCTACAGAGAACATCTATAAATATTTGTTAGCACCAGTTCTACAGAAAGATCTGTCAATGTATATCAGCACCAGTTCTATAGAAACATCTATCAATATATGTCAGCACCAGTTCTACAGAGACATCTGTCAATATATATCAGCACCAATTCTACAGAAAGATCTTTCAATATATGTCAGCACCAGTTCTATAGAAACATCTATAAATATTTGTCAGCACCAGTTCTACAGAGAATGTCTATCAATATATGTGAACACCAGTTCTACACAGGATATCTGTCAATTTATGTCAGAACCAGTTCTACAGAGAACATCTATAAATATTTGTTAGCACCAGTTCTACAGAAACATCTGTCAATATATGTCAGCACCAGTTCTAAAGAGAATATCTATCAATATATGTCTGCACCAGTTCTACAGACAACATCTATAAATATTTGTTAGCACCAGTTCTACAGAGAATATCTGTCAATATATGTTAGCTTCAGTTCTACAGAGACATCTGTCAATATATATCAGCACCAATTCTACAGAAAGATCTGTCAATGTATATCAGCACCAGTTCTACAGAAAGATCTTTCAATATATGTCAGCACCAGTTCTACAGAAACATCTGTCAATATATGTCAGAACCAGTTCTACAGAAACATCTGTCAATATATGTCAGCACCAGTTCTATAGAAACATCTGTCAATATATGTCAGCACCAGTTCTACAGAAACATCTGTCAATATATGTCAGCACCAGTTCTACAGAGGATATCTGTCAATATATATCAGCACCAGTTCTACAGAGGATATCTATCAATATATGTCTGCACCAGTTCTACAGAGGATATCTGTCAATTTATGTCAGAACCAGTTCTACAGAAACATCTGTCAATATGTGTCAGCACCAGTTCTACAGAAACATCTGTCAATATATATCAGCACCAGTTCTACAGAGGATATCTATCATTATATGTCTGCACCAGTTCTACAGAGGATATCTGTCAATTTATGTCAGAACCAGTTCTACAGAGAATATCTATCAATATATGTCAGCACCAGTTCTACAGAGACATCTGTCAATATATGTGAACACCAGTTCTGTCCATATATTACAGTACCCCGACTTTGTCAATGATCGTCCTTCGTTTCTAGACTGTTGTCCTATTTGTATCATTACTACATTTTGTAGTTCTACATTGAATCTTGCCACATTGATCGACTCAAGTGTCTATATATGTGTATCCACACCATTCTATACGCTGCGTTAATTTTTTTTGTTAATATCAGACAATTAGGTGTGTCATTACCATTATCAGAATGTCCAGCTGACGATTCAATGTTCTATATCATCAGAAATTTTCAATGGGTTTCTTATTAGGTATTATGATGTTTCAGCAAGTAATATCTAGGAGAACAATGGGTCGCGCATTTATGTAATTATCGTAACTGCCATGTGTTGCGAACACCGATACAATGCATTTTAATTCTCCCGGATGAACAGCCTTTTCAAATCATTTTTTTATTGGGACATTATCATCTTTTGACGTTTGAGGACAGAGAGGGATTTCTAAAACGGCTGATTAGGTCTGAGAATTAACATAATCTGCATGACGTAACGTCTGGTGCTATCATGCATTTCTAATTAAAGATTTTGTCTGGTTATCCATTAATGTTTTTCTACCTGATAAAAACCCTCGTTCAAGTTTGGTATCAAATATATAACAATAATATAATTGATCTGAGACAAGGTCACCAGCGAATATAAAATTTAAAAACTGCGTTATGAAATACCACGTGATGTTGATGCGATAGAAGTACGGGCCCTGATTTGGTCAGGCATGAAATAACGCTAATATCTCTTATGGAGCCGAACCCGGCCAAAACGGACTGACACTCCTGCAGGGTATGGGGCAGGTTATTTTCATCCCGTGTAAAAAGACGAAGAGTTGATCATTCCACGCAATGGCTCTCGTAATAGTCTTACTCGTTCCTGAATAGATTATTTGGTTTCACAGGAACGTTTAATATTGTTTGTGTCTATATCAGAAGACTGCTGCTTGACAATCACCGAACAAATGAAACAAAAAAGCATCTCAAAGATTTAAAACGGTTCGGGAATACAGAATTTAGCCCTAGTCAGGAGATGAATATGTGCTATTCCAAAATATACAATAAATGGCGCAGACTCCATGCCTATAAGTGTTGAAATAAAACAGAAATAAAGATTTATAATGTTTAGTTTAAAATGTTTCATTTCATAACCATGTGTTCATGAGGAATTTCATCCTAGTCTATGATATTGTCAGTAAACAATAATGAAAAATAAACCCGTTTACCTTATTTGATATGAATCGTCATTTTCCGGTCTTGTTTGCGTTGGAAGAAAATTTCGGAGTTGAAATAAAATTCATTGAAAACTGATTAAGAAGTACACTTAGCACCATATCGAACATTGATCATATTAGATAAAACAACATGTCGTTTGAGACGAACAAACAATGGTTGGATGATAAAGTTATATGGATGGATAAGCGTATCCAGCTTCGTCGAAATTAGCAATGCCACATCAAAAATCAGATTGCTGGATTTGTCGTCTCGACAGTAGCGAGGATGGTTTTGAGGCAGTGTCTTCTTGTGGAAACTGTTGGCTACCTCACCGAACAACACCGTGAGAGGAGGCCCGTCTTCTATCATACACAACAATTTAGGGTAACGTGTGTTGCTCAAGACCACAACCACGACTGCACAGACAGGTCCGTTTCTCAACTTTCTGAGAAGCAAACCGTCATGGTAGGGTTGAGAAATAAACGTTGACGACAAAACAATCAGGTAAAATTGAAATGCATGACGAAAGCAATAAAACGACAATAAGTAATTTGCATCGATAAACACAGTGACTATAAATCTGTCGAAACACTCCGTCATAAGATTTTAAAGTTGTTTCCGTCAAACTTGGACAACATCCTTTTACGGAAATCGTGATATTGGGATAAAATTCTCTCTTAAAATTCCTGATGTTAAATAATAGAATAATATATTTTTTTTCGAACAAAATTATAGTTTTGTTTTTCAAACATTATCGTATATACTGTGTTTAACTTACGGAGGTAATAAAACATACTGGATAAAATTTCATTTCTTTCGATTGTAAATTCTTGTCGGTCCTCAGTTGATAGAAAACACACCCGTTGACCTGTCGGGTGTTGAAGGTATGTCGAAAAGGAGGACGGTATGGTTGTGATAGGCTTGTCTTCCAAGTGCATGGAGTGTCAGATACTCACTTATATTACATTTCGTTCAGATCCGTGTCGCTCACGTTGAAACAAACACGGAAATAGACCCCAAGTGACAACCCCCTGCTTGTGAAAGTCTACTGGCAACAGCGTCCGCAACGGTTGACATGCCCCCAAATCACATTTAATAACAAGTTGAAATTTACATTAAATCGAAATGTTATATGTATATGTAGCTGCATGACACCGATTTATGGAATTTATCAAATCATTTTTTAAAAACTAATTGTAGATTTTTTATTTCTAAATATTTCACGATTCGTCAGTCATAGGCATTAAAGATACTCAGTAAACAACTTCTTCAATTTTATAAGCAATTTCTACAAACAAAATCGCAGGTCGTTACCGAATGGCACCTATACTATTCGATTACTGCTTATTATCGCCTTCTTTCACCATATACCCAGTTCACACCATGGATGATGAAAGTGTTCTTTAGCGCCTTGTTTTGAATACGATTATGTTTTTGTTTGATATCAGCGACATGTTGTAACACATATGTAAACGTGGCCAGAGAGTGATAAAGAATATGAATCTGAATAATTAACCAACAAATATATATATTTCCTCGTGTTTTGTTTGCTGGCGATCCCCTGTCGTACCATCACTTTGAGACATCTATAAAGACCGCTCCCTCTAAACCTTGCTTGGATGATGGCGGGCGCCATGACATCAAAAGTAACGTTGAAACAAGTTCGGTTTTGTTACAATTACTAGTGTTAAAATACGTTTGTGAAGGCATGGACTTATATCAAATACACATCTTAGTCTGATTCTCCGTAAATACTAAAAAAATAAATGTTGAAATTCAGAGAAAAAGAGAAAGTTGTAGAGACTAAAACCAAGTGTAATGTGCTTGTTTGTTACCCCTCACCTACAAGTCATGCGGTATTTGTGCAGATTCAAAAGTGTAAAAACCGTAAAAAAATAAAATTTAATCCTACCTACCGACCCAAAATTACCTGAACAGCAACAGGTAGAACGTACATGTCTTTTTTACTACAAATAATAAGAAAAACAACGCGTGCATTATTTTAGTTCAATAAACGAAAATTTTCTCGGAATATATTATACCCAATTCTATTATAATTGTGTGATGTGGAATCAAGTGCCCCTCCTCCTCTGACAGCCCCGGTTCATTTTCGAAACAGGAAAACAAATGAAATAAACATTTAATGTAAATCTGTTAAAATTACAATCGATATTGGTATATATAAGTCTTCCCAGTATTCGTTATTTCAATCTCTGAAATAATTTCGTCATATTACTTAACCAGTACATGCGCTATTGTCATTAAAATATCTTTACCTTTTCCATCTTATTCATATTCTACATCGCGTACGTGATATATTTATACTGCTACAATTAAATAAACCACTTTGATAATAGTTAATTATTTAATTACCAATTAAATGCAGCAAGTGTCCGTTTGTATAAATTCCTTCGTGTTCTGGTTTATATTTAATACACTTTTGTGTATCTCTGTATCAAAAAGTTCAAATATTGGGAAAGAAGAAAATGATAAGAAAACGAAACAGCGGGACTGTTTCGCAGTTATCACGTTGTAAGCTTGGGCAAGCACCAGTTTTTTTGACACACAGCCGGGGAATAGTGTGCAGCTGCGCAGACGGTTTACTGCGCAATTGGCCACAAAATGATGGCGGGTGCGAGATGCCCGTGTCTGGTCCACTGCAGAGCCCCCAAAACGGATTTATGATCACAAAAAGAGGACCAGGAGCTCCATGCATTATCAGTGGGGTGAAGGAGCACCTCAGAACTCCTCGAAATGCTGTTTTGTTTTGGACTTTTTGGTAAGACACTATTTTTGTGCTAGACATCCTATCTTTATTGGTTCTATTTTGCAAACTTCCGGTCTGTGTTGTGTACTTCCTGTGAATGAGTAAAAGTGTGTTAACTAGGTAATAAACTTTAAATACTATTTCATTTTGTTTCGCAGCTCTACTGTTATACAACACAGTCGTGGCAAATGGTGAGTACAAGCGTTTTATTTATCCCACCGCCCTGTTCACACGCGTGTTTAATGTGCAAGTTGAATGAGTAAAAACATCGTCTGCTTCAAGAAGAGGTCAAACGAGTAGGACCGACTTGCACAGTACACTGCCGTCTCGCCGGCCTCGTATTATTATACTCATCTACAAGTTTACGTAATAGTGGAAGGACAGGTTCATTTCTTGGCACCCATTCGGTTGTCGGCCTCTACGGAATTGTCTACACTGAAATAGTAAAATTTGTGAAAAGCAATTTACGTCAGCAGTGCTGAGAGAATTACAGTGTAGCTTTTGGTGCAGACGGTTACAGTGTGTAGACTACTGCTACAGCCCGCATGTTAGACCATCATGTGTAGTCAGAAAATTTGCTTATTTTCTAGCCAGAGAAACTTACGTCATATGCCAAATATCAGCTAAACACTCATTACACAACAGGTCTTTTTGATGACGTTTTTATACTCTCTTTAAAATTCTTACAAACCACGTTAATAATGCTTTTTAAAAAGGGGAAAAATGAGGCCGACGTCCAACCTGTTGTGTATTGTGACTGCAGACTGTATTCAATAGATATGTCTGGGTAAACATTGTGGTTACAAATATACTTTTATGTAGAGCAGGGTCATAGTAAGGCTGGGTTTACTCACTTGAACAATCATGACCAAGCTACTCAACTGAAAAGTAATTGATGAAAAACTGTAGTCTTTCATGCATAAACAGTGTGTGTAGCATATGATAATGCCTTTGGCCAGCTGTCTAGTGGTCAGACTTCTGTCATGGCCTGTCTGAGGTTAAGATCCAGCAGTACCTATACTTGATAAACAAGTGAAGTCTGTTTCATTTTAAAGTCTGGTTGATGCCAAGTTTGTCTAAATGAGATAAATGTCTGGTTTTGGCTAGTTTATGTAATTTGAGAGGTTACAAGATTTTGCTTTTTACGAAGCTCTGCACAAAAGGATGTTGATTTTGCATGCATAGATATATAATGTGTTTGATTTTAAATTTAGGTCATTATTAAGCTAGCCTCATTAACCATTGGACCAAGAAAGATGATATCTATTATTTTGTGTAAAAAAAGGAAAGAAAACAACAAACGAAAAAATTGTATCTACAGCTTTTTAATGTGTAAACATTAAGGAGGCTTTGGTTTCATGTTTTTATTTTAGTCTTTTAATCTCTGCAAGTTTGGTGTATATTATTTAGAGTCTTGCTTAGGCCATCAGATTCTGCTACACCCTTCTATATAATTAAACATTGTAAAGAGAAAGTGCTTATTTCACAGCAGCAGTGTGCATTACGAAACAATTCGTGAAGCCCAATTTGACCACCATTTCACATTCTGTAGCCAAGCTAATACATGTACCTGGTCTATGATTTTGATGGACATAATTCCAAATCTGTGCTTATTTAATTGATTAACTCTCAACATGATTGATGTTCAACATATGATTGTGCTGTCTTTAATGTCTTGCAAACAACACAGAAACAGTCTTGAGGTAATGACCACCATTTATTATAATTGTTGAGTCTGAAAATTCAAGATGACTGCCATGTCTGCCATCTTGAAAAACATATTACCAACTTCTTTTGATATTCTACATTGATATAGCCCAAATCTGTTGAGAATGTTCAGGAACTGATCTCATCAGGAACTGATCTTGGCTCTATATTTTTGGCTGGGCTGGATTGAAGTATTTTCGAGGGATGATTGCACAATCAGCTATTTCTACCAATTAAATGTATTTCAACTTGTTGTTGTTGAATTCACTTGACACTTGCCAGGAGTGGTCCTGAAATAATGATGAGAAAATGATCTTTTTGTGGATAGGCTTGATGTGTTTATGATGTCTAACAATTTCATTTAAGCTAACTTTTTGAGGAATGACAACCAAACCCTAGTGATTCTAAACAAATGTTTTTGTTTTTTTAAAAGTGTGCATGTATCCAAATTCTGAGATGACTTTTACAACTGTCATCTTGAAAAACACTCGCAAGAAAAGTTCTATATTTAAATTAGCTGTAACTTTTCTGTAAATCCAGGGATTATACTGAAACTGTGTGTTAGATGATATTATAGTTAGGTATCTATGGCAAAATATATTACAGAAACTTGTAAGTTGAAGATTTTGAAGACAGTCTTCAGAGCGTGATATCTATAGCAGAGACATATAATTATAGAAATCTGTTAGTTGAAGATATTGAAAATGGCCATCACAGTTTGATATTGATACGACATAAATGTCAACTCTGCCAGTCTATGACTACTAAATCTTCTGATTTTAAACCAGTGTCTGTGGCAATGTCTATCATAGATAACTGATATGGCCTATTTGCTTCTTGTATTTAAATCTTTTTGGGGATTAGTGATTGGAGATTGATTTAATCTATGATTATTTATCAATTAAAATCAGACAGGCTTTTTGATGTGGTTACTCTATTACAGAATCAGCTGACTGTGTGCTCAATATTCATAGAGACTGACTGCATTCTCTGTGGCAATAATGTTTTCTTTCTTGTAACTTTAATGTAAATTATCTTACTTACCTAGAATTAACATAAGGATGAATATTTTTTGCAAATGGCATCTTAATTATGAATTTTATTTTGCTGAAACACATGACAATATTAACGTGCTGATGATCGATAATGAAAAATTACAATTGATCAACTGATGAGGTTAAATGAATAGATAATCAATTATACATGTATATGATCATCTTTCTATCACTATGGGGGATTGGAAAAAAATTATCTGAAACAATGAAATGCTACATAATATTCAGATTGGTAGGCAATATTATAATGGGGAGGGGATGCATGCACTGATGTTTGTCGACAATTCCTAGGAAAAGGCAACGCCTTGTAGATGAAAAACCTTATTCCGACCAATCAAGCAATACTTAAGTGTACATATGCAAATTGAGGTTTTATCAGAATAGTGAAAAACTGCAAAAAAGGGATCATATGCATTTAATTTTAGAAGATATATGTATATATTTATTCATTTTAACAGACAAAGAATTTTTATTTACAAAGGAAAAGAAAGTTGATAAGACATTTTAATTTTGCATTTTGATTTGAGTTGTAGTCTGCATGCAATGGTCAAGAATTCACTTAAACATTTAGTATGGAATATCTTGCTTTGGTTGGCTGAAAAAATAATACCTTTAAAACATTCCATATTTTCAAACTTTATAAGTTTATATTTAGTTTCTGATTAACATTTCTTTTGCTGTTGTAACACGCAATGTTACCTATGTAAATGTAGAAACTTGTCCAAAAAATATAGTTTTATATGCAATAAGTATTTAATTTTGTCTTGATGTTTATGGTCGGTGTGTAGTAATTTTCAATCCATTTATTTATGGTTTTCTTATACAGTCAAATCAGTCATATGTGACTTTTGAAGTGAGCAATAGATAACGTCACACAGACAGGTGGTCTCTTGATACACGTTCAGTGAAATCATCAACAAAAAAGCATGCAGATTTAATTCATATATTATGGTTAAGATATTAAGATATAGTCAATCCAGAAATATAGCTTATTATATTATTTTCTCTGGTCAGAATTGATTTTGTAAGTTATATCCTCTGTGTATTGTCTCTGGTGGTTGTTTTATACCAAAAACTTCAAAGTCTGTGCCGATTCAGAAGTAGGACTCACAATATGACCCAAACGATATTAAAATGGATAGAAAAAAGTAAGAGTTCACTGGCTACTGATTTTTTATTGTCGGTCATAATTTTATGAATATTCCAATATTCCAATATATATATGTAAAAGCTTTGGTTTACTAGATGAGAGCTTTCTCCTTTCTAGCATTGATGTGTTTTAATAACCATACAACATCAGTTTTTTGCCATAAATGCATTTTGACATCTCGTGTGTTCCGTGTCCTGCTTGCAATAGCGTGATGCAGAAAACAGGTCGATATGAGAATTATTTTATTTATTTACAAATAGGCAAAACATCTTGAGTAGCACAACTTACAGGACATGTGATTGCCATGTGATCATCTTAGCATTTCATGCTGCAATTAGTTTTTCAGTGTTTTGGACACAGAAATGATGGTCACCAGTCGCTTCAGACAGGTACATGTAGGTGCTTAATTCAGGTCATTTGTATAGTAAATTACTTGGAATGTAAAAATTACTATTGCATATGACAGGAAATAGCTTAATTCAGCTGGTTGTTGAGGCAGGTTTGACTGTATATGATGAAAGTCTCACTGTATTTAGACATAGATGTAGATTTTCCTACATATCAAAAGACTGAAACATTCCAGTCAAACAGCAAATGCAATAGTAAAATACACAACACTTCATATGCTGACCTCTGCAGCAATGATTGAACTTGGCTTGAAGTCACAATTTTTCATTTTAATTTAAGTGATGATTTTAATGAACCAATTTGAAGAAATTGACTAATGGATTGACAAAAAGGGCATGATTGATAATTATCTCCCTAAACCATCAATCAGTGATCACTCATATTGATTTATAAATTAAAATTTACCGAACAGATACATATTTTTCTGATCTGCCATGATTATAACTTTGGCTTGGAACATTTAGAAATAGAACAGTTTGGAGTTACAATTGTACTTCCCTTACCAGAGACAAATGATTTGCTGATTTAAGAGATCATGATGGCATTCAGTAAACAAAAATGGGATGTAATTGAATAAAATATAGTACTGTTTGTCCAATTTTTGGGAATATTTTAAAAAGGATTTGAAAATGGGAGTAAATGTCCTAGCTGTGATTATATTGATATGGTGGTGATACAGACATTTGAACATTGATGTCATGTTGATGATGATATTGGTGTAATGACACTGACGACATGTCATTGTAATGATAATCATGTATGGTAGTGATGATGCCCAGGATGAAGAAATGATGTTTTTGATGGTAAGATGATGTTGATAGTGAAAAATGGTGATGTGTTGATATATCAAGTTAACAACTGATAGAAAACC